CCTCCTCCTCTTTCTCCCCCTCCCCCTCCCCCCCAGCTCTGGGCTCCCTTTATGCTGGTCTCACGTGGGGCAGCCTAGGTGAGCACTGCTGTACCCAGGCATGCATCCAAATACCACGTATCTTGGGGGCACAGAACACTTCTGGCCTTTGAAGTGAGGCAGCTGCTCTGCTTTGGGGGCTGAGGCCAGGCCACACTCCTGCTGGGACACTGGGCCAGCCTGGCCAGTGCACGCATCCTTCCACGCCTGTGTCAGTGCCCTCGTAGCCCCAGCTTGAATAGTTAGGACCCAGAGGAGAGGTGGGCACAGGGGCCCTCAGCATGGCCCTCGCTCTGCAGCCTCTAGAGCTCACAGTGACCTTTCTCCACTGTTGGCCTTGGCTGTCCTCGGGGTGCCCTCCCTGGGGAGAGACCTTCAGAAGACCTGGGTCTGAATTCTGGTGCCACCCTTTACATAGTTCGTGATCTAGGGCAAAGGACTCACTTCCGGCGTGCCTCGTCTTAACCCCTATTGAACTGGTCATGGCGAGCTTTGGACATGCACTCCTGGCCTGTGTGCGCTGGCCGTTGACCTCGAGGAAGGTGTAGTAGTCACTGGTGGGTGCTGTAGAAGTGAGGAGCAGAGGAGTGAGGAACCCAGCCCCTTCCAAGAGCTCAAGGCGGGGTTGACAAGGCACCTGTGCTTGGAGTGTCAGATCCCTTCTGACATCCCTTGTGACAACCGCCTCAGTGCCCCATGTGTCCCTGTGTGTGTCTTGGTTGGCTACCTCTGCTGCTTGGTTCGTTGCGTACAGCCCCAGGTGCATCATGCACCTGCACCATGGAGGGGCTTCACAGGCGGCCTGTGGCACCCAGGCCACGTTGCTAAAGCACACCCGTCGCTGGTGATTTGTGGAGGCAGCAGCTCTTCTCTATCCTGCCTCTGCCTCTGTGCGCAGCTCCAGGGAGGAAAAGGGCAGCTGAGGACGTGGCCTTGGGGCCTGGCATTTCTTCCCCTTGCCTCTGCGAGCAGCTGTTTCTGGCCCAGCCTTCCTGCAGCAACTTTTCCTTCGCAGCCACCAAGGCTAGGACCCCTTGTGCCCCTGGCACAGGGCAAGCAAGCAAGCCAGGTCCAAGTCCAGCCATGGCACACAACTCCTGCTCAGAGCTCTTTGCTTTTCTCTCAGGGATGCTGCCATTGGTCACCCTTCCGCTCCTGGTTGGCACTGTCGGAGTGGACAGCACTGTCCGCTGACACACAGCAGTGCACTCTCCGTGCCAGTGCACAAGCTCTGAGTTCTGTGCGTGTGACATCAGTTCGTGGGGCATGGGCTTCCAGAGGACCGTAGTCAGCAGAGCGCCCGGACTTCCTGTGTCTCAGCACAGAGGTAGCTGGAAGCCAGGCCCCAGGCCCTGAGGAGAAGCCGTATGGGCTTGCCTCTTCTGACCGATGGACTCCCCCACCAGCGTCTGAGTCCCTTCTGCCTGTGCCCCAGTGAGCAGCTGCAGGTCACTGAGCATGAGCAGCTCCTTGGGTCAGGGCTGCCCTGGACAATCCCCAGACTGAAGAGGAGAGGGAAACAGAGAAAGAATGGTGCAGGCAGGCTCTTGAGGCCGAAGGCCCTGCAGAACCTTGTGCCCCCCTGAGGAGCCAGGCCGGGCCAAGCCAGGTTCCTGAGCTCCCGCCCAGTACTCGCAGCAGCAGCTGCCAGCCTCTAATGGTACCTGCACCGCAGTCTCCACTTTGAGTGTGTGCTCACTATCTCAGCCCCTAGGTGGGGGATTCTGGTCTGTTATCCTTCCCTGAGACCCATGTCCCACTTCATGTATCCCTGGGGACACGGGTCCCTGAGACCCTATCTGGAGAGACATGATTGTCCCAGGGACTTGATGAGGGCTTTGTGGCCAAGCTCAGAGCATCAGGCAACTGCCGCTTATAGCAAGGGCCCCCACCAGTATGGCTTCACACACAGTGTGTTCACCCCACACAGCACCTGTGCCCCACCCTGCAGTACCCAGAGTAGGGCAGGAGGTTTGCACAGGGTCTATCTCCCTGATCCCTCAGGACGTCCGCGAGCTCACCTCTGTCGCTGCAGCAGGGCCTGGGACCTGCTGGGGGCCCAGCTCCAGGCTGGTATGAGCTACTCTGGCACCCTGGGGTGGGACCTGGCCCTCTGCACTTGTCACAGGCACTGGTGACCAGATCCCAGCTCACGGGAAGCCAGATCGATGAGCTGGCACATTCTCCCAACCTAGGACATTTCATCAACTCCTGACGTCCCAAGCAGTAAATGTCAGTCCCTGTGAAAGTGCTGGTGTTATCTAAACCTCCAGGTGTGATGATCCGGCATTTCTCCCAGATCCCGCCCCAGGGAGCAGGAGACGAAGGTCGAGGCGGGCAGGAGAGGGATCCTAGAAAATCAGGGACTCTGAATGCAGTGGCCCCTGGCCCCACCTCGCACCCTGTGCACGTCGTGTGTCTGGTCACTGGTGCCACAGCAGTGTCTCAGAAAGGCCATGTCTCTGAACTGATAAAACCATCACCTCTGAAGTCCCGTCTTGGGAAGCAACAGTACTAGACATTTGGGTCCACTCTCATGGATCCTCTCGGCACCCTGAGGACAGGCCATTGGGTAAGCTGAGGCTCCAGGGCTGGCAGTCACTTGCTTAGGGTCATGCAGCTCCTACTTCACAGCTGGGGACAGTCAGGGTCCTCCCTGCCTTCATGCCTTTAAGCTGAATTCCATGCTCTCTCCCTGTGCCCCCTCTCACTTTTGGAACAGGGCCCGCCTGCGGGGGGTGCTCTGCAGAAGGCCCAGAGGGTCTCCCTGAATGTCGCTCCTGGGAGGGGAGCATTGTGACAGAATCAGCCCTGCTGGTCCACAGATAGGCACAGTTCCCAGGTCTCCCTGCCCCGAGGCCAGACTCTGCCTTCTACCTGGGCAGGTGTGCCCATCCCTATTGGCTGAGCAACCACCAATGGCCACCAGGATTCCATGCAAAACCACCCCTTTCTCCCCCTTTAATGGAGCAGGCGGCTCAGGGTGGGAGGAAGGCAGGGCCTCACGCAGAAGGGGAGGGATGGGAGCACGGCTGGCCGTGCAGTCCAGAAACCAGGACGCTCATTTTCCCTGCGCACCGCGCCTTTAATTTCTTCCTCCCCAGCCACCGCGCCTTTGTACTTTTGCAGTGCAGCTGTTTTTATTTGCCGCCACTGCTGTTGTTTTAAAAGGTCTATTTTCACATGGAATGTTATCCAATTAGCAGAGCAATGTGTTGGCTTAAATAAACACTCGGGGGGAGCCGACGGTGGGGAGACGTGATGGCGGCTGGCGTTGGCAGGCGGCTCTTCTCGTTGTGGTAAACAACCGCGCCTTTAATTGCAGGGTCGCTCCAGCTCCAGTCTCTGTCCTCATTTCTCCGCTTGTCCTCTAGGCTGGGGATGGGTGCAGGGAGTGACGCAGACATGTGTCCCCAGCCCAGGTGGGGGTACTAAGGGTCACCAGGGCTCACATTAGAACCTTGGGTGCTGTCCACACCCCACAGTATCCACCCACAGGACCCCTAAGACCCACCAGGGCAGCGTTGGTGATGAGGCACCCGGCAGCCGCCTGCCTCCACCTTCACATGCAGTGATGTGTGCTCAGCTCGTGTCTAGGTGACAGGGTGCAAGGGACAGGAGTTCCATGTCCCCAGGGACCCACAGGAACGCAGCAGAGTCTAGAGGGGACACTGTCCCAAGGAAAAGAGCAGCATCACGGACACCTCTGGTCCGTGTGGGCAGCGCCGTGCCAGGATCACTGTAGCCTGGGATGTCAGAGCTGCCCTTCCCCGCTGAGGGAGGGCGGGGGGGTATCTGGGGCACCCTCGGCAGACAGTGAAGGTAAGGGGTGTGGTGCAAAAAGCACTTCCGCCCCAGGCAGCCCACAGGTGGCACAGCTGAGAGGTCCTCTGAGCCTCAGGGGTCCTGAGCTGTCTCCTGGGAGCTTGGCACCCCGTGTTCTGGGCCCACTTTTCTGCCCAAGTGTGTGTGTGTGAACCGTATGCAGTTCACATGCATGTAAGCTGGGATTGTGCCCAGTGCCTCTTGTTCCAGCCGTGGGTCCAGGTAAGAGAGAATGTTTGGTT